GCTGGAAATTTTTTCACTCAACTACAATTAAGGCATTGGTTAATTTGGACATATGAGTTTTGATTTCCCTATTTTCCTCAACAATTTGGGTAATCATTGCCTCAAACTTCTGATTGGTTTTACTTTGTGTCTTTATGAATGCATATAGGGTGCCTTCCAAAGAGTTTCTAGAGGATGTGGTTTGATATAGAGGTGTAGTGTAGGCTCTATTAGATTGGGCAGGTTGCTGATTTTCAGATTTTCAGCTGAGATTGGGGTGACTCCACTACCCTGAATTATAGGTTTCGGAGTAGGGAGTATAAGGCTTTTGATATATGCCTAAGGTATTACAATGTTCCTCATAAAGTCCCCTCATCTCATCATAAGTAGCACAATCTTGATGTAGGTGATCACTTTCTCCACACACAAAACAAGGCTCTGAAGACTCAATACAGGAAACAGGTTGTGCAGATTTAGAGCCTTTAGCACGCAAAGTCTTAAGTTCCTTAGTGAGGGCTTCTACTTTGGCCTTAAGACTATCTTCTTCCCTAATTTGATAGATACATGTACTAGTGGGGTTTCCTGTAGGTCATGACCTATTGGTACTATCAGTAGGGCTAGGTCCAGTCCAAGTATGAGTTTTCTCAACAAGATCATCTGGATACTCTATGGCCTCATCCGGATCCTTTTGCAAGAAATCATCGTTACACATCATCTCTACGAATTGACGCTCCCTAGGTGTTAATCCCTCATAAAAGTAACTAACTATACGTCAGCTCTCATAACCATGGTGAGGACAAAGGGCTTGTAGTTCTTTAAATCTCTCCCAGGCCTGATATAGGGTCTCACTATCCTTTTGGGTAAAAGATGAGATTTGCTTCTTAAGAGCGCTAGTCTTATGGTGGGGAAAGTATTTATTAAAAAATGTTTGCGTCATTTCAGCCCATGTACCAATTGAACGTGGTCTCAACGAATATAGTCAGGTCTTTGCTCTCTCTTTTAGTAAAAACGGGAAAATTTTTAAGATGACTGCATCCGTTGTACCATGTTGAATGTGGAAAGTCGCAACTACCTCCTCAAATTCCCTGATATGCACGTATGAATTTTTACTGTCAAGTCCATGAAAAGTGGGAAGAAGTTGAATCATTCCCTATTTTAATTCCATACGTGGCATATTAGGCGGAAACATTATGCATGATGGTGTGGATGTGTGTGTGGGGTGCAAATAATCATGCAAAGTCCTATAAGACGCATCGCCGTGTTTATTATTAGAAATAGTGTTATATGTTGAGGTGTTGGTGGCAATTGATACAGTAGCAAAGTGAGGGTTATATCGAGGTTCAAACACTGGATACGGTGCTCTGGTAGAACTCCCTTGATCGCCTCGATCCCTGCTCATCAAACACAAAAAACAAAGAAAATGTGTGAAAAAAAAATAAAAATAACATTAAAAAAAATTAAATCAAATAAAAATGAAGAGAAAGGAATGATGTCACCCTTTTTCGGTTGATCCCTTGATTACTTGTATCGTCTCCCCGGCAACGATGCCAAAATTTGATTACGTCCAAAGTATAACGCGGTGATTGTAGTACAGCTTTGGAGTGTCGTATCTACAGGGAGATGAAAAATTGTTTAAAGTATCAAACAAACTGGGTTTTCGTGATTTTGTGAAGTGAGTTTTCAATTTGAAGTGGGATTTAAATATCAATATTCAAAATAGTGAAGCACCAGAATTCACTCTCTCGGATTGGATCAATCAACGTTAATTATTCATACATTTTACATTAAAATCAAGGTTCCTATAACATATTCTTACTTTAGTGTATTGAAATCAGATTAAGAAGCGTCCATATACATCAAGCATACAGAAGTAAATAATCCATCAACGACATACATGAAATTGAAACTCAATAAATATTTCAATCAAACAATAGAAAGAGCGTGACTAATTCTATGAAAAATCTAATAAGAATTGAACCAATTTCAATTACCAATTCAAAAAGGGAAACCTATATTTATTTAATTTCACTTGCAATCCTGGAATTTAGAATTCCTAACAACATATTCCGTATTTATTTATTGAAAAAAAATTCAAGAAACGACAATATACCTTAAGCATAGAGCAGTAATCAAATCATGTCAATAATTCAATTGAAATTTAAATTCAACCAATATTTTAGTCATTCAATGGAAAAAACATAATTGAATCCACGAACAATTTAATAAAAGTTAAACAAACATCAAAAGTATAATAATAAAGAAGAAATCTAAATCCAGAGTTATTCGAGAATAAAAATCACATTATATGAAAGAAAAGATATTGAAATCACCAAATCCGATCGAGATTCTTCTTGGCTTCACCAAAGATTTTAATTCTTCATAGAGTTTCTTGTGCCACGGATGAGAGAAAAGTGTATAAGGCTGAATGCCAGTGTTCTGGGACGTTTTTGGGGTTAAAACAGTGTGCAAAACGCATTTCCACAAGAGGTTGAATCGAATAAGGAAAGTAAATTTTCGGCCAGAATTTTCTGTGCGACTGCTTTCAGTATTTTGGTTATAACTTTCTCTCCCGATATCCGATTGAGATGATTCAAGTTTCATTGGAAAGATAACTCAAAGTACTACAATCTTTGTAGAAATAGCGCTTTCCAAATTCGGACGTTTAATAGGTCAAACGTTGATCTCAATCTTCGGTTCAAAATCTGAAAGTCCTTATATCCGGTTGGAAAAATATTATAGGCATATTTAACTTCTTTTGACTTCTAATTGCACCAATGGACTCCTAAATTTCTCAAATCATCATTCCATTGCCCGTCTCATCTATTAATTATTTGTAACTTGGTCCCTGAACTTTCACTTCTTCTCGCTTTGGTCCTTTTTCATTTGTTTCTTCCAAATTTCACCATTTTCACCAAAATGCAACCTATACCAAAACATAAGAGTAATGAGTGAATTTTGACATTATATAATCACATGAATGCAATAATTAAGAGGGAAAAATGTGGTATTTTACACGCTTATCAAAGGCTGACAGTTCGTCAAGTACTGTAGAAACATGTTAGGAACTCTCACCCGAGCTGATCCCAACTATCAATTGACCCTGCTGATAAGTCTGTGTACCATTCAAATGCAGAACCTTTGAGCTAGCATACGAACTGCTTCACCATAGTGTCATTGTAAGTACCTACATTGTTACACGTCTCAATAAAATGAGCAACATGTTGATTTGGATTGCCCTTCCATCAAAACATTGAAATTTCGAAGGTTGATAATCAAGTGTAATCTTTATTCTGTCGATTCGACGATTATAGGACTTGGCATACACCAGTGAAGATTGCAACGAACTACCATACTGGGCAGGAATGGTGTCCGCAATCATATGTTGAAGTTGTTGGACGGATAGAGAGCTATCGGAGAGTTGAGTGGTGTCTCGCAACACGTTTTGAACAACTGTCCAATCGTGCATATCTTGCTTTTATTGGCGCTCTTGTACTTCTATCTCTTTGGCCTTGGAAGATCCTGAATTTTCCTGATCTTCCTTAGTCGGTGGATTTTGCGATTCTAGTCTGTGTATGAGTGCAACAAATCTGTGCATCTTTGTCTTCCAACGAGTTTGTTAATTTTTTAATGGCTAAAGCCATTTGTTGAATTCGGTCATCTAACCATGATGTAACTTCTGTGGTATTTTCTATCAAATGAGAGTTTGGCTTCTTGAAGGTAATTTTCATTTTGCCTTTGTTGGAGAACTTTTTCAGTGGTGTGACCAGTTGAGTTTTCCCAATTTTTGTTTGGGCCCTGATTGTATGGAAGAGTTCGATGAGTGTTTCTTCAAGATGAGTCATAGTTTGTTTCACATTTTCGCATGCCATTGCTGATGTAGTAGTTAAAACTTGAAGATTTTGAGATCAAAAGATGAGAGGACAAGAAGGTCCCACCGAGTGTGCCAAGAAATTTGCATGACAAATTTCGTGTATTAAAATATAAAAATTGTTACAAATTGTATTTTGATAAATAAAAGTGATGTTGACCTTCTTGTAATTGTAAAATTGTAAAAATCATCTCATTAATGATTTGAATATTTGAAGATGAGGGGCCACGTGACTTGAATCCCGATTTTCGAGAATTTGTTGAAAATTTGATTTGTCGAGACTTGACTTGTTCGGAACTTGAATCTTGAGGCTTGAACTTGGATTTGGATTTGAATTTAATTTGATTTGAAGAAAACTTTGATCTTCTTGGACTTGGCGTGAACCTGTTTTATTCGAAATTTTTTTTAATCTTCTTGGGGTTCACCGAGTTTATGTTTGAGAAAATTTCTTCCCTTCTTTCGGCCTTGAAATTTCTTCGTGGTGTTTTCTGCCTTTTTTTTTTTTTACTTCTTCTTCACCTCCTCTTCTCATGGACCATTGGTCCTATGTATAGGAGAAAATTTGTACTAATTTTGGCAATCACTCAATTATATTTAATTAAGAGGGATAATTGAGTAATTATGATTTTATTTATTTGTTTATTTAAAGTGTGGGATGAGCCCTTGGGTTTTATGGATTTTAGTAGACTTAAGATTTAATTGGATTAGTGATTTAAATTGATCGAGTCCATTTTCTTTATTTTATTTTATTTTTATATTTACAATGGGTTTTATCTATAAGAGAAGAATTCAAAAATGACGACTGAAATAATAAAATAATCGTAAAAAAAAAGGATTTTAATTTGCTTAAAATCGCTACCAAACAAGTATTTAGTATTTAATATTTAAAAATGAAATATCTGATTTGTTAAATGTAAAACTTCTCGCCTGATTTTAGAACACGAATCTTTAAAAATAGGGTGAGATATAATTTCCTCTTGCGATTTGTGTGCCTGGGCATGAATTGTGTCCACCCCTGAGTACACTAAATTCATAAGAGAAAAAATAATAAATAAATAAGATGGTTTCTATCAATACAAGGCTTGGGCCGTAAACAGTATGGCCCATACAAAAACCGGCCCAAATAAAAATCAATTGTAAACCTAAAACGACTATAACAAAATAAAAAATAGAAAAATAAAATAAAATCTGCACGACAGTTACAAATTCGCTCTTTTGTATCACCTTCCCGTCGTCTCTCCTCTTCACTCCGTCCGTCGCCGCCGTGCCAGGGTTTTCGCCTCCATTAGATTCTATTGTCAAAATCCACAGGTATCATTATTTTCGTTTACTATTTTCTGCAGTTAATTTCTATAAGATTTATGCATAAATTTGTATTTTATTGATTATGGATTCTAAAATGTATTTGTTACGAAGGATGGTCAATTTATAATTAATTTAATCTCCTTTATTTTATGCTTTTTATAATTTTTTTATTTTTGATGCTTGATTGATTCCGTTTAGCTGAAATGAGTGGTCTGGTTTTTATCATGACCTTTTTACACAATTGTTTCTTCCAACGCTTAATTCGTTGTTAATGTGTAATGCTACATTGTTAATCATATGCTTTACATGATGATTAGTTAAGATGATAGCTGATATCTTCAGAAGTTTGATTTTCTTGCTTTTTAAATTTGTTTGTTCCAATTTGAAACCCAATTATCGGGAACATTCTTGAGCCTCTATCAAAGTCACTGAAAGGAAAATGGTAAATTATCACAATTTTTTTTCACTTATATAACAGGAATCAAGACTCAAGACTTTACTGTTTTGCGTTAAAATTGCCGTGATCTTTTCCTACTTTGGGATTTTTTAATTTCTGTACTGATTTCTAAGCTGATTTATTTGCAATATCATTTTTTCCTAGTGTGCTCATCTGAAGTCATGGCACAAGAAGCAGGAATGTTTACGGTGCCCCAGACTATAGGCAGTGTCCTATGCTGCAAATGCGGTATTTTGATGCAACCAAATGCTGCAAATATGTGTGCCAAGTGCTTGCGTTCTGAAGTTGATATTACAGAAGGCCTACAGAAGCATGTGGTACTTATCCATTGTCCTGAATGTGAGAGCTATTTGCAGCCGCCTAGGACCTGGATGAAAATGCAGCTGGAGTCTAAGGAACTGCTGACCTTTTGCATAAAGAGGTTGAAGAACTTGAATAAAGTCCATTTAGTACATGCAGAATTCATTTGGACTGAACCTCACTCCAAGAGAATTAAAGTTAGACTGAGGGTCCAGAAAGAGGTTCTGAATGGGGCAGTACTTGAACAAGCTTACACCATTGAATATGTTGTGCAAGACCAGATGTGCGAGTCTTGTACAAGGGTTCAGGCTAATCCTGATCAATGGGTGGCTGCAGTTCAACTGCGGCAGCATGTTTCTCACAGGCGCACTTTCTTCTATTTAGAGCAGCTTATTATTAAGCATGATGAAGCTCGCAATGCAATAAGAATTAAGCAGATGGACCAGGGAATTGATTTCTTTTTCGTTAATCGGAGTCATGCTGGGAAGTTTGTTGACTTTGTGGGTGAGGTAGCTCCAATTAGGAAACGAAATGACAAGCAACTTGTATCCCATGATCCGAAGAGCAACAATTACAATTACAAGTACACTTTCTCGGTTGAGATATGTCCAATATGTCGTGAGGATTTGATATGTCTCCCTCCTAAAGTCGCTGCAAGTCAGGGGAATCTTGGACCCCTTGTGATCTGCACCAAAGTGACTAACAGCATTGCTTTATTAGACCCATTTACTCTTAGGCACTGCTTCTTGAATGCCGAGCAGTATTGGAGGGCTCCTTTTAAGGCTCTACTTTCAAGTAGGCAGCTTGTGGAATATATCGTGTTGGACATTGAGACTGTTTCTTCTGAAGTCATTGTTGGTGGCTCAAAGTATG